GACCTGAGCCGAAGGCAGTCGCTTAACCAATTGAGCCACCCAGGCGCCCTTGGCTTAAGGTTCTTGTTCTTGTAAATTTATATTTGATAAAATGCCCAAATCTTAATTGTACTATTCAGTATGTTTTGATAAATGCAAACATTTATGTAACACAAACCCGTATGAAGGTACAGAAAGTTCTCTCATACCTTTTCATTTTATCCCCACTCTTACCCCTAGAGGCAAGCACTGCTCTGATTTTTTTCTACCATGGAATAGTTATGCCTGTTCTAGAACTACACATAAATACAGTATGTGCTCTTTTGTGTAAGGCTTCTTTTACTAAGCATAGTGTTTTTGAAATTAATCCATTTTGTTGCATGTATCAATATTTCATTCCTTTTAAAAGCTGATTAGTTTTCCATGAAATGAATATAACAATTTATCTATTTACCTTTGTGGGTTCTTTTTTTTTCACAATTTGAGCCTATTATAAATAAAACTTATATTATTGCACAAGTCTTTCTGTGGACATTTGTTTTCATTTCTCTTGGATGAATACCTAAGATTGGAAATACCGGGTCATAGGCTATGTGTATATTTAGTTTTCCTAGACCTTTTTCCGAAGTGATTACACCATTTTTTACTGCCCCCCCCCCCAACATTTGATGTTATTCTTCTTATCTATTCTGGTGGGGGTGGAGCTGTGTCTTATTTTGAACTATTTTCCCTCTTTCACATTTTAAGGAATCTAGGGAGACAGGCCATGCCTGGGGTAGGTACTTAACAATGCAGTCAGGGACCCAGGCACTTTATAGCTTTTTGTTCATCCTTAGTGGATTGATCATAGTTCCATGCATGGCATCTGGGGTAGGCAGTCCTGCCTCTTGGTATTCCTGCCCTTGTGTAATCTCCTCTCATTGATTGTGGGCTGGACTTAGTGACTAGCTTTTTTTTTTATTTTAAGATTTATTTATTTGAGAGTGCGTGCACGCATATGCCCCCAGGGTGGGGGCAGAGGGAGAGGGAGACAAATCCTCAAGCAGACTCCCTGCAGAGCATGGAGCCTGGATCCAGGGATCGATCCCAGAACCTTGAGGTCATGACCTGGGTCAAAATAAAAAACTGGATGCTCAACTGCCTGAGACATCCAGGCACCCCTAGCTTTTAATAGAATATAGCAGAAGTAAGGGGATGCCACTTCTCAGATTGTTATAAAAAGAATGTTGCTTTTTTCATGCGCATTCTTTCTCATTCTTTTTTCTCGGGAAAGCCAAATTGCCATATTATGAGGCAGCTCACAATTGCCATGTTGTGAAGAGACCCCGTGGATGTGATGAGGGACAATGGGGCCTGCCAACAATCAAAACAGTGAGCTTAGAAAAAGATCTCCCCCTAGTTGAGCATTCAGATGAGACTGCAGAACCACACCTGGATTCCTGACCCACAGAAAACAAGATAATAAATGTTTGTTGTTTTAAACCATCAAGTTTTGGGGTAATTTGTTACATAACAATAGATAACTAACACGACACCTCATTATCGCATATCATAAGATGGCTTCTGTACCTTCAGGGTCTCATGTTCATGCTCCACACACAGTAAGAAAAAGTGTGAAAGGCAAAGGACAAAGAGGTTTTTCACATCAATCTGTTCATTTTTATCAAGAACTCAGAACCTTTAAAAAAAATCTCACTCAGCAGACTGGTTTATATCTTATTGGCCAGAGATAACACCACATGATCACTCTTAGCTAGAAGGCAGCTAGAGAGAAGGGGGGACCTAGATGGAGTTTGCATCAGCCAACTCTCAGTCTCTGGCACATAAACCATTTCAGAAACCCCATAAAATTTTTAAAGACCACTTCCTTAACACTACTCCAGCCAAGTGGCCTTTTGAGGAAATTTTGAAAAAGGACCTATTCAAATGAAAATTTCAGAAAACTCCTCAGGGCCTGGATTGCAGGCTTAGATTTCTCATTTGTGCCCCACACCATTCTGGGAAAACTGCAGTGCTATCTTCCACTGTTACTTCTATGCCTCCAGTCCTTTGCAATAGAAACTTCAGAGTCATCTGGAAATATCCCTGATCACTCTCTGCCCCAGCAAAATGGCTTTTCAAGTTCTGCTAATAACTACAGCCTTCATACTTTGTTAATCCCTCCCATCTCCTTCTTTACTGACCTTTTTTTTTTTTTTTTGTAAGATTTCATTATTTGAGAGAGAGCGCGCATGTGCGCACAGTGTGTGGGCAGAGCAGAGGGAGAGGGAGAAGCAGCCTCCCCACTGAGCAGGAAGTCCTGGGGCTCTATCCCAGGACCCTGGGATCATGACCTGAGCTGAAGGCAGATGCTTAACCGACTGAGCCACCCTGGTGTCCCATTGCCCTCAGGATAAAGCTTTAACTTCTTCCCGTGGTAGCAAAGACCCTGCATAACAGGATATGGCCCACTTCCCCAGCCTTAACTCTTTGATCTGGACTTGGTGTTCCCACAACACCAAATTGCTGACCTCTCCTGCCTTTGCTTATACTGTCCCCATCTGCCTGGTAGGGCTTCACTTTTGATTGAGAACGCCACTTGATATCCTTAGGGATTCAGCTATGGTGACAACTTTTCCAGGAAGTTTTCTAGGACTACTAACTCCTTCAACAGTGGGCCTGCTGGCTTCCTCAGTAGCTCAGTAGTTGTGTTCAAATCCTTTTCCCTTAATGGGGGAAAAGGACATACTAGGTTGACCTAGTAGAAAAATCAAATAAAACAATAGGATATGGAATGAAAAATAAGTCTCCCTCCTATTCCTGTCCCCCAGTTTCTTTTCTCCAGTTTCTTAATGCATATGCAAGTATATTTTTTCATATTATTTTTGCACAATCTTAAGGTGTTTTGTGCCTTGTTTTTCCAATTAACACTGTATTTTGGAGATCATTGTATCACTTCACATAGATCTATCTCATTCTTTAAAGAGATGCAGCAATATCTTGTATGCATATCTTAATTTGCTCAAGCAATTTGTTGTCGGACATCTGGGTTATTTCTGATTCTGCTCTGACAAGTAGTGCCGCAAAGTCCAACATCTTTGCACAAATGGATTTGAGTACAGGTGGAAAATATCTTTTCCACAGTTTCTTAGGGGCAGAATTGCTAGATTATAAGGCTAGGTCAAAGGCCAAGAGGATTGTAAATTTTGATATAAAGCTCTAAATAGTCAGCCGATTTATTCTTCCCATCAACAATCCAGCTCTGCTGTATTCGAGTTAGGCCATCTACCATAGTAGTCTGGATATGTTTTGGGGGCGGGCATTTCCTAGTATTCACATTTGTCTGGCAGAATTGGCCTTCAGTAAATATTTGACTTAATGTTGAATTTTATGTCTAAGTGCCAAGTCCAGGGCTGGCATATTGCAGACTCAGCAGGTATCTATTACAATTCCTCAATAATTAGAGTTGCTAACATTTACTGAAGTGTATTAAATGCCAAGACCAGCGTAAGCTCTTTTCCTTTCGCCTCTTTCACTCACGTTCTCCTTCCTCCCGGGGAGAGGGCGTGCCCAGCACCACGACCCGCCCTATCTGTGCATTCGTTGGCCAAACCCGACGCCCGTTACTGCCGAGTCCCGCCCAAACCGCGCCCCCACGCAGTCCGCAGGGCCGAGAGAAGGCGTGGCTATTGTGCCGTTGGAAGATTCAGACGGTCTCCTCTCGTGAGAATCGGGACGTGCCCGAGGACCGGCTTGGTGCGGGTGGGAGCGCGCTCCGGCGCGAGAGGCCAGTGGTCGCTGCGGGCGCACGCCCTGCCCCTCCCCCTCTCCGGCACGCAGGTTCCGGATTAAGCCTCCGTCTGACCAGCGGCGGCCGGGCGGATGGAGGCTGGGCCGCCGAGGTACGAGGGGAGGAGCCGGAGCTGCCGCCGCGGCTGCTGCTGCTGCTGTAGATGAGCATGTCTGCAACTCGAGCCAAGAAAGTGAAGATGGCCACCAAATCGTGCCCCGAGTGCGACCAACAGGTGGGCGCCGGGGGCCGGCGGGCCGGGTGCGCGGGCGGGCGGACGGGCGGCCGTCGCCGGCGGCCGTTGGCTGTGGAGAGGCCGCCTCGCCGGGTGGTCTGGCCCTTGGGCTCGGTGGCCACGGTGGGAGCCCGGTGGGAGGCCGGGCTGAGCCGAGGGGATGCCAGGGAGACTCCCGGGGTCGCAGTCCGGCCGGTGTCCACCTGGCGGCGTTAGCCGGGCGACTGTGTTGTGTCCTGCGGCCCGTGGCGCGGGAGGGAGGCGTGGGTTTGTCTGGAGCGGTCGGGGCGCCCTGTCCGAAGCCTCCGAGAGTCGCCCGGCCGGCTCTGGGTGACAGCGGCGGGAGTGTGGGGGCAGTGGCCTAAGTGGACGAGCACGGCCCCTTCAGCCCCTTTCTGCCCCGACGAGAATGCCCAATGTGCCCGACTCCGAGTCCAGGCTCCTGGCTCCTGGCTGCGAAAGCCGCTCCTGCCACGCAGGGCTGCTTTGTTCCCATCAGATGTATACTGTGATCCCCCAAAACTGTTCCCACCTGGGGGGGACGCTTAAATGTGACTAAAGGGGCCGCAATCCAATGGTTTCACGTTTAGGCGAATTTGGACATTTTTCCTCCTAAATATATTTCTTATATTTTTGACGGAAATAATCGTGAATCTTTACATTGTTTTTTTTTGTGGAACATTATTGAATAACGCCCCCATTGAAGCCCTTTCCTTCTGGGCGCTCCTCACCTCCCCCACTCGCCGCCGTATCCGCTGTTAAAAATTTGGCGTTTCTGCTTCATGATCTTTTTAAAAAATTTATATGTAGTTTCATGAATTTTAAATGACTTCTTTTTACACAAAATTAATAGTGTCATAGCTGTAATTTTAAAAGTCTCATTTTACTGTTTCTTAGTTTTATGCATGCCTCATTCTTTACTGGAATCATGGACGTTCCTTACAATCTATTGAGTTAAAAGTCTCAATTAAAACCATTCGAAGGCCCTTTTTTCAGTGTGCAGATCTGGGTGTGATTTTTTTTCTTTTCTACTGAGAGAATTTTTTCAAAATGACTACCTCTCTCCTCCCCTTTCCTTAAAAAATTTTTTTTCTTTAAATAAGGAGTAATTTGAAATGGCTGGAGACTTTTTTAAAAATAACATGCTGATGTCAGTGCATTCTTTAAGAGCAATCTTGTACCTTGATCAAATCTTGTAAAAGAAAATGTTACATGTTTTATTCAGTATCTTTTATGGGCCTGTGGTAGAAATGCAAGGAAGGAAGATTGTGTAAGGAGAATTGTAGTTTTATTGATATTACGAGTTTATTGAGTATGCAGTATAAAAAGAATTTAGTCATGTTTTCTGAAGTAGAGTTAAACTTCCCTGCTTACCATTTGACTGAGTTTACCGCTTAAACTAAATTTGTTAAATTCTGACAAAATTGGACTTTGTGATTTAAGTCTCTTTGTAGGAGATTATATCAATATTTAAATCATTTCCATTTGTTCCAATTAACTGCTGAAGTATAAGGTTTACATGTTACGCTGTAATGCATTCCAGTTTCTGTAGGGCACAAGTTATTGCAAATCTTGACCTTGTTTTATTTGGCATAAAGTAATCTTTTGGGAAAAGTAACCTGTTTTTAATATCCTGGTTAAAGAAAAAGGGAAGGACAATAAACTTGTTAGGAGTCCCTGTAATTGTTCAACAAAATGTGATCAGCATTTTATTTGGAAACATACATTAATCTTGTTATACACACACAGCAGGTCCTCCCTTCCCCCCCAGCTGCCATAACAAAATACCATAGGTTAAGTGGCTCAAACAATAGCAGTTTATCTTCTCACAGTTCTGGAGGCTCAAAGTCTGAGATCTGGCAGAGAGAGAGAGAGAGAGCTTTCTGGTTCCCTTATAAGGCCACTAATCCCATCATGAGGGCCCCACCCCTGTGACTTTAAACCTCATTATCTAACCTCCAAATACTTACAGGTTGGGGGTTAGGGCTTAAACATATGAATGGGGGGGTGTGTGACAGTTCAGTCCATAGCAAGCTACTACATAATTTAGAATGTTGGTTTTGTTCTTTATTGTAAATATTTAAGAGAATATAATATACATGACTAATTAAAACTTTTGGTGATTCTTAAAATTGATTTATCTTTTACTAAAAGTAACTGGTTTGAAGGAAATAAAAGATTAATTTTAGTTTTCTAATTATTGGAGAGTACAAGCTTCTTATAGTTATAAATGAGAAAAAAATTATAATCCAGAAAGCCATTTTTTAAACATCATTAGATTATTGTTATTCTGAGTTGTTTGATGAATATTAAAATAGAATTTAGGTATAGTTTATAAACATAAAAGGATATGGAAAATCTTTAGTTTGAGATTGCACCACTTAAATAGATTTACATATATTCTTTGTGTGTGTAGGTTTAAAAACAGGTACAGAGATCAGCAAACAAGAAAGACCTAGATTTTCAGTTGTTTTATAACATCTCCTTTACATGTCTCCATTGAAAATACCGTTCTGAAACATCTCAACCACAATACTTTTCATTTTCGAGAGGTTTCACATCCAGTAGCTCAAATTACTGAACCATTTTGTATGTAGTAATATTCAGGATTCTTGTTAGTTGTCTGGTATCTTTTGTGTATGTTTCTGTTTCTGCCTTAATTTTTTTAAATAGAGTGGCTTTTTTTTTCTATTCATAGGAAATTTTATGTGTTATGTAGCAAACATGTCTACTGTAGGTCACTTTGATTCTCTTAGCAGCAAGAATGTAAATGAGTTCTCTATAATGTGGTTATTTTGAACTTTTAAAAAATCAGTGGAACAGTATAAGACCAGGATCTTGTTTCTTACACTTTTTTTTTTACCCTTTTTTTAACTTTTTACTTGTTTTTAGCTGTTTTACTTGTAAACATAAAAACGACCTGAATGTACTTTTCAAGGGAGAAATTGATGAGCAATAAGTCATCAATAAACAAAACTTTTTTTTTTCCCTATTTTAAAACCCTGAGAGTATAGCATTAGAGCTTTCGTTAGTGTCATCTTTGGCATTACAACTGAAATTTGAAGGAAATGTAGGGTTTTTTGTTTTAAAACCGAATTACACTGTAAAGAGATTAATATTACTGAAGCCCACCATATTTAATAATTCTAGGATTTGGGTTGTGGTGGTGGTTAGTTGTATTTTTTTTCACGGTTGGGTTGGGAGAAGGAACTTTCCATTTTAAAAGGGACTCTAGGGTGACTTAGCTCAGGCACATAAATGTTTCTTGATCATAAAACACTCTCTAAGGAGTGAAAATCAGCTTATCAATTAGTGTTTGTGCATTCTTTCATCCCAAAGCCATATGTACATGTCTCAGATACCTAAGTGCAGCCCTCTGTTAATTTAGACTATGCGTTATGTATTTTTCTTGTATATAAGACAGAGACCTAAATTTAAATTTGTTCAGTTTTAGTAGCTGGAAGAAAATGCTTGTGGAATAGCAAAGGATCTTTTGAATAAGAGCATCATGTTTCTATGTTTTTTGGATAACATTAATTTAAAACAATTTATATTACAGTGAATGTCCTTAATGATGTGTGTAAGTATAAAGGAAATGAGTCAGTACCTTTGAGTTTAGTTTCTATGAAGATGTGAAATTTTAAAAATGACAAACATCTATTTTGGGTGCATTTTACAGTATTAAAAAATGTGACATTTCATTTTCTGTCCTGGCATGAAAGAATCTCATCACATTCTTTTTTTTTTTTTTTTTTT